GTGGGCCCTGATTGGTTGTTAACGGTGGGCCCTGATTGGTTGTTAACGGTGGGTTATGATTGGTTGCTTTTGGACCAATCATGAGGTGCAGGATATGCAAATTTGAGGGATTCTAGTGATCAATCAGAGCAAGGTTTCGAAGGTCAGGTTTTTGGAAGGGAACCAATCATGGTAACTGTTTGCTCTCTGAGAAACCTCGGCAGACTCGCTGGTGTGCAGCTTCCCACATTACTCTCCTCCAGGCTGGTCCTACCTTTCACTACAATATGTAGCTAGGGACTGTCTGAGAAGAAGTAGGAAAAACACTTCCACAAGGTCTTTCTTCTTTTTTCCGTAAATGATAGATACTGCATGAATGATTCTAGTCTTCTAATTGGGCTCTAGGATTACTACTTCTCCCATTTCAGTTTGTTTCCAGTGTGTTTTCCTTGTGACTTTTACTCCAGTTTTTTTTTTTTTTAAGATTTTATTTAATGTTATTTATTTATTTAAATTTGATGAGAGAGAGAGAGAGAGAGAGAGAGAGAAAGAAATTGAGAAGTCAAGGTGACAGGTCCAGGACTTGAACCATGGCCAACCATGTGGGAGTCCAGCGCCCTTAACCAACACACCACCTGCCAGCTACAAACTCTAGTTTTCTATGCCTCTTGCCTCAACAGCCCCCCCATACACACACCAAATACTGCAATCACTCCATGAGTGCTGACACACATCTTAGATGATGAGGACCTGTGTGAATAAGATCACAATTACCCTGCCCACCCGGAGCTCATAGCCTAGTGCTGGAGTCAGACATCTTACCAAAATCTTTTTAAAATTCTTGAATGATCCATTGATAATATAGGAGTATGGTGTTGAATTACCAAATAACTAGGCATTTTCCTGTTATTCTATTCTTATTTTCTTTTCAATGAGCATTTGATCATTTTATTAACAAAATATAAGTAAGATTTACATCCTTTTCTGGTGAAAATTTTCTTTTCAAATAATTTTATGTGGAGGTCCTGGAGATGCATCAATTATAAAACATGTTGAAGTGAAAACTGTTTAAAATTTACAACTACAAATCCATATTTTATACTAGAATTCTCTATAAAGTTTGTCAATCAATATAAAAAATAATTTGTTTCAAATGAATATAAGGCCAGAGAATCAAAGAAAAATCAGGATCAATGAAGAGAAAGGTCTCCGGCAAAGCTAAAATAATTCCATTAATCATGACGGAAACTGGACATGCCTTAATTTTTACTTTAATTCAACTGTAGTCCAAAATAATCAAAAGAATATTTTCAACTATTTAAAGCTTGTTGAGGTTGGCAGTTTGGCTCTCACCAGCTACTGTACTGAGCCCACTGGGCCTTACTCTGTGGTCTGTGGACCACCACACCCAATTTCTGTGAAGGGCCAGGCCTGGGTTGATACCACATCAGTGTTCCTATTCTCCTCAGAGCTCCTCGTCCAGACGGTGCTAGCCCAGAGTCATTTACCAGCAGAGTCCCTCCCCACCACAGTCTTCATTCTTCTCATTTTCCAGTGGAGTGGCAGAACTCTCCCATCCAGTTCTCAACATCCATCCTGCAGTTGGGACCACTGGGGCTTCCTCAGGGAGACATATGTTCCCTTGAAGAGAAAGAAGTACAGCGTAATTTCCTCCATCATCCACAACACTGAGCAGAGCTCTCAGTGTTCAATTTCTCCCTGCTTGGGTCTTCACCGAAATGGACTTTCCCATGGTTTTCAAACTCATCAGTGATGATCCTTCTTAGAAAACTGGAGCCTCATCTGCATTCTCACCCTACGGCCTAGTAGTCTTGGGGGCCCCTGAGCCAGGACACTCCACCAGACAGGAATGAGTTCCCTCATCCTTATTAAAAGCTGGATGTGGACACCTTATACCACAAAGACTCAATCACTCTGTCTCACTATCTGCAGGCTACTTCGGGTTCTTTCTGTGAAATATTAGTTCCCTGGGCAATTTTGGAAACTTTCATCCATGTCTCCTCCCTACAGTAGGGTTCACTTTTAACTGTATAGATCTGTTATTTTCAGCTTTGGATTTGGTCACTGTAGCAAGCCCCCATGTCTCAGGGACTTGATGCCTGCCACTTGGCAAGGACATTATGGAGGTGCTGCTTCCCTCATTGGAAAAAATACATGACTTCCTTATCAATGGACCAGGGATATCTATCTCTGAGCAGATTCACCTTTTCTATGTACACATGTGCCCATTATGAAATTCCTAGCTCTCAATCTTTTCTTCTTCTTTTTCTTCTTCTTTTTTTTTTTTTTTTTTTTCATGAGAGAGTGACTAGAGAATGGGTTGTCTTTTGGGGGAGATATTGGAGTTTTAAGTACTACTATATTCATGGGCCACTTCTCAAAAAGAACATACTAATCATTTTATTTTACAACTGTATTGGTATAACAGTGAATAACTCTGTTATATCAGGCTAAATTCATTAATATATATTCATCATTATTATTATAGTCATTTGGGTTATTATTTTATTTATTTCATTAATTTTTATTTTTATAAATAAAATGATTCAGAACATTTTTTCCACAATGACATTTAGATTACTTTGTTTGTTAAAAGATTCTTTTGTGGGACCGGCAGGTGGCATGGTGGTTAAAGGCGCTGGACTTCCACATGGCTGACCATGGTTCAAGTATCAGACCTGGTGGCTTGCTTTCTCACTTCTTCTCTCTCTCTCTGTCTCTCTCTGATCAAACTGGAAAATAATAATGATAATAATAATAAATAAAGTTAAATAAAATAATTCTTAAAAAAGATTCTTCTGTTTCCCCTTCCTCCCTGCTATCTCCCACTCACTTTCTACCACTGACTGGACAACCCAGACTCCTCCCTTATGGTTTAATATCTATACTTATACTCTCTACTATCATATCTTTGGTTCCTTCAATTTCTAACATAGAGTGCAGACATTCAGTACATATTGAATGAGGATATACAGTGTGTGTCTTTCAAAGTCTGACTTTACTAAACATTGTCTTCTACAATCATCCACTTTTACTCAAATGATAGAGTCTCATTGTTTCTTATGATTGAGTAATAGTCCTATGTTTGTGCCATAGATTTTCAACTCAGTCTTTAGTGTTGGACACTTAGGTCAATTGCATGGCTTGACAATTCTGAATAATGCTGCAATAAACATAAATGTATGGGTGTCTTTCTGACGGAGTGTATTCCTCTTTTTTGGGTAAATGCAAAGGAGTGGGATTACTGTGCTCCACAGTAGTTCTATGTGCACATTCCTGCACACAACACACATTTCCTTCCACCTTCATTGCCTTTGCAACCCACTGTGAGAACCAGAGAATGGGCCATGTTACCACTTCTAGGTATGGGACCAGGGAACATTTCAAATCTCAGGGAATGGCATAAAACTCAGAAATCAAGGTAAATGATATTATTGGGACATTGGAAAAGTTATGATGCATTTGTACATAGAAAACGTATAAAAATATGTCATGACTTTTCCAATTACCTAATAGTTTTTAAGTTCTTTATTTCACAACACAGAGAGGTACTCTGAAAGAGACTCACACCACAATCCTCCCTTCAGCCATCCCAGCTAATTAGGACCACAGGCATATGCAAGCCAGCTGGGTGTGTATAGATTGACAGGGAACCGAGTCCCTGTTGTCCGTACAGACTCCAGCATTCTAGAGTGTTGTGCAACTGCTGTGCCACCATATCAAAACTCTAGTGCAATTTTTTTAAAAGAGATTTTTGCTATAGGGTATGTGAACTCACCAGAGAGAAAAAGAGAAATAAAGAGACAGGAAGTGAGATATCACCTTCCCCCAGGTGGGGTAGCCACACTACAGTCCTTTCTCCTACATTCTCCTCTTGGGATTTTGGGCACATATGCACATGAGCCTGGCGTGAGTTTTTTTTTTTTTTTTTTTTTGAGAGGGTTTTGCTATAGGGCACGTGCACTTGCCAGACAAACAGAGAGAGACAGAGAGACAGAAAGCGAGGAATCACCCCCCAGGGGTGATGACCACGCCGCAATTCCTTCTCCTCCATTCTCCTCTTGGAATCTTGGGCATGCATGCAGACGTGCCCAGTGTGAGTTTAAGCTGCCCGGTCCGGGACTCCAACCGTGGTTGACTACGTGGGAGTCCAGCGACATAGCCATTACACTAACTGCTGGTCCTGACCTGGCGCGAGTTTTAAGTTACCGGGTCTGGAACTCAAACTGCGGTTGACTATGCAGTAGTCCATTGACATGACCATTACACTCTCAGTGCAACTTAAAAAAAAAAAAGTCATACAGGCCATGTGCACTCGCCAGCAAGAGACAGAGAGAATTCACCCCCCAGGGGGGAACATTCAACCCACAATCCCTTCTCCATTTTCTGCTTGGGATTTTAAGCACACGTGCACACATACCTAGTGTGTCTTCTAAGCCACTAGGTTGCAAGCCACATTATTGGCCATGTGGGATTCAGTTGCCTTTACCAGACCACTGGCTGACCTTTTTGTGTAATATTTTATAAAACCAAAACTAATGCCCAAATCCATATGAAACAAATACGAAAATTTTAAAACAAGACTGAACCCATCCACTTTCACCCAAGTCATCTCACTTGCCACAGGCCTTTCCCCATGGCCCTGCACTCCTGGGCAATGACCTGAGAGCAGACAGAGGAGACTGGCTCTGGAGAACAGAGCTCAAAGTGAACATGAAGACTGCAGTGGATGCAGGACTCTGACCACGACTAACAATAGAACTGAGGAGCCTGAGTTTCTCAGAGTTAGTGGTTGGGGAGGTGGTGGTGATGAGGGGAGGGAAAGTTCTTTTCCATAGAGAGGGCCAAAGCTGAGGACAGATGGAGAAGAGGAAAGTTCTTTCAGAGTCTTCAGATCCACAGTCCAGAGTCCCTAATGCCTTGTCTGTGTATGCGCACCACAGGCAGCTGCTATGTGAGGCCTTTAAAGACTTTTTTATGGGACAACAGAAAAGCACTTCTAGTGATTTGCAGTTAGTTTATTGAAATGCAAATGTATTTTAGGTGTCAACAATTGTCTTGCAGTTTACAGATAAAGGACAAAATAGAAAGCAGAGATATGGTTTATAGTAATGGTCAGTCAATTTCCATCTGTAATCTGTAGTCCTCTGAGCCAAAGATCTTGTGAGAAGTTAAAATAGCACACACCCAGGGCTGTTGTAAATTACTTGCTGGAAAACAAAAACAGAAACTTCACTGGGTTTCAACTCTCTCTTCCAAAGTCACCACCAAAATCTACAAATTTGACTTCTTGTTTTTTCCTGCATTTGTCCATTTGTCCACAAGCACTTAACACTGAAGAAAATTAACACTGGAAGCGAAATTGGAATTATCTCCCCATTTACTGAATTCTTGAGGAGACAGTTATTTTGGGCATGGCCTTAAAAGTTAGAAATATTTTGTAGTCTCTGAGGCCCTTCGTCATTCCTTTATGGACTATAAGATACTGGAGCTCTACAGTAGAAATGATTAGTCTAACAGGGTTTATGAGGAAATATTTAGGAGCCAGCAGGTGGAATGATGGTAAAGATGCTGGACTCCCACATGGGAGACTGAAGTTTGAGTCCTAGACCTGAAGGCTTGCTAATCATGCCATGTGTGCGTATCAAAATACAGGAGGGGAATGGAGAAGGGATTGTGGTGTGGCCATCCCTCTGGCAGTTGATTTCTCACTTTCCCTCTCTCTGTCTTTCTCTCCAGTAAGCTTACTCACCGTCTGGCACAAAACTCAAAAAAAAAAAAAAAAAAAAAAAAGGGAAAAATAGAATCATATGATAACACTAACCTAAATTTTAGGTGATGTTCATTTAACCCTATGATTTGTCATGTTTTTAAATTGTCTATCATGGGTTATTTTAAAGGGAATATTAGGATTCTAAATAAATATAAAAACTTCTTGACAATTTGTACTTATAATTAGAAAAAAAGTACTCGTTGTTGTAACTACTGACTTACAGTTTAAATCATTTATTTTCTCATCCTGGACCCATGATCTATACTTGCTCTTTAATGAGGTGCTTAATTAAATGATGCATGGTTTTCAACCACGTTAGATAAAAATTTTTAAATTCTTTTCATTTAAGAGATGTGGAATCTTTCATAAATGGTTCATTCTGAATTCTGCCAAAAATTCTTAAGAACATTTTTACTATTTGTTTTTGTGAAAGGAGGAACTTTTTGATCCTTCCTACAGAGAATGGCTTTTTCAAAATCTGACACTTTTTTTTTATCATGCTGGAAAATGTGTGTGTGTATACTCATGTGAGTTCATGTTGCTGCTGCGTGTGTGTGTGTGTGTCTATAAATTCATGCATTACTATGAACTGCTAAGCTGAGAGGTAGGTAAGCCATTTCAAGATCTTATCCTTTTTTCACCTTTTTAATTTATCCTTCACTGAAGATTCTCCAAGAGAAACATAAAATCCACCTAGGGACTAAATTTAATGAACTGATATTTTGTCAACACTGTTTGCCAGTTACTTGACATCGCTGGTGACAAACTTAGAGTCTAGTTATTTCTGGTCAGGGATTTAAAAATGCACATAAAAAGAAATCAGAATTACCATAAATGCATCAAAGTTCTCCAGAGTTTCATTAGACTGGTTGAGAAAACACTGTTTGAATTCACCCACAGCGTTGCTCGTGGCATCATCCTTTATGTACTCTTTAAGCGAGTTTTTGAATTGCTCAATAGATATGGTTGGATTGGCTATGTCTTTAATCACACCTTCAAGATATGCGCAGCCAGAACCTGGGAAGAAAGCATGAGAAAACCGGTTCATTGCCAGAAGTAGGAACTCTCTGGGCATCCTTATGATCTTCTCCATCTTCTAACATCCCTAATGATCTTCTCCATCTGCTAACAGCCCAGTGGAGACATAGATTGAGACCAATTACTGTGTATGTTCTAGAGTTCTCAATTCCAGCAGACTAGATTAAGGCTGTGGGGTTCTCTTTAAGCCCTGAAAATTCTCAGATCATGGATCATCTAGCACATTATTTTATCATTCTTTGTTCAAAGTCATACAATATTTCACTAATCATTCAGAGCAGCAAGTAAGATTTTTGTGTATCACAGAACTGTTGGTTGTAGAGGGGCTGGCAGATGATGAGGTGGTTAAGGGTGCTGGACTCCCACATGGCCAACTGCAGTTCAAGTCCTGGACCTGGTAGCTTGCTTTCTCACTTTCCTTCTCTCTCTTTCACTCTGTCCCTTTATGGTCATATTAAAATAAATAAAATAAGGGTTTTTTTTTTGCAATTTTTTCAATTTCATCTTCTTTTATACATTCAATTACATTATTATTTGACTTACAAAATGGATATTTCAACAGGTGAACATTTCTCCCTAGTACGGTTGATAAAACTACAAAATATCTTCAACAGATAATACCACATTTCTTTGTGCCATTAATGCTTTGGCTCCCTATTTTTCTTCTAAATGTCCTTCCACAGACCCTCCTCTTTTTAAAAAAAGAACTATGGGGTATAGAATATTTTTCACTAGCTCTGTTGAATCTAAATATTTTCCACAAAAATAAGGAAGGCAAACCAAAATGTCCTGTTCATGAAGTGATCACATGTGTCCACCTCCATGTTGGGAAGAGAAAAGGCTTAAGACTTAGATCCACAGAGCTGAGTTTGCCCTTGGTTCTGCAGTTTCCTAATTAGCTGAATGGTGGGCATATCACCTTTTTGGCCATTTCTATCTACAATATCTCAGGGACAAATGAAGCAAGATATGTAAATTTGCTCCATACCTTGCATAAAACATGCTATGTATATAACTTAGTAGTACTGACCAGCTGCTGGCTACCAGGGCTTTTTCCTCTGATGGATATTCCCCGAAATATTCAGAAACATCAGAGTTTTCCCCAATCTGCTTGGTGTATGAAGGGAGTGGGCACTAATGGGCCTTACACAAAAGCTCAATCAACTCTGCAAATGCAGTGAGGTCCCTATGTACTATGAGATGCTGGGCCCCACACTGCAGACTAGGAGGTTTCTCATTGCCTTCAGGTTAAGTAGATCCTAAGAGCATTGCTTTCAAAAAGCCCATCTGAACCCCAATGTCATGGGGCCATCATTTATACCTACCCCTTGCCACATAGAAATACCTAATTTTTTAAATTTAAATTTATTTATTTATGTTCATTCACTGTACATCATTACAGCATACAAAATGAGATTTTCCATCCAGAGTACACTGTATATTGGCTCAATCAAGCACATCAACATACATATTATCGTCCACGAATAATTTTCCATTTCTTGTTTCCTGTATGTTTTGCTTTTTTTTCTTCATCCTTGATTCCCTATCTCTTACCCTCTGCCATCTCCCACTCTCCTCCCACACTGTCTTTGGTATCTATGTTTGCCCACATTTTATTGAGTCCCTAAAGATCTTAATTAATCTACACTATGCAGTATATTCTGGATGGGAAATCACATTTTGTATGCTGTGATGATGCTTAGGGAAATTAAATTGGAAAAAAAAAGTTTCAGAAAAGAAAATACCTATTTGATGACTACAGTATGATATATAGCCCCAGCTAGGTGCTACTTTATAGGATGTTCATTCTACTCATTGAGGCTTATGCCTAAATTTGGACTTGTGTTCATAGAAATACCTAATTTTAACATTCAGCCCTGAGATTCATACAGTGTTCACAGTACCTATAACAGCAGTGGGATGCTCTGAATGGAAAAGACAGTACGTGCAGCCCCAGTATGGTAACAAAACCCAGGAGGGAGCTCTTTGGGTTTTTAGAATCAAAGCAGATCCTTAGGTCTATTAAATCCAGATCCTTTTGCACTTGGCCTGATCTATATTGTAGCGAGGGGACCAGGAGTTCTCCCCAGTTGCTCACCTAATAAAACTTAGTCTAGAAGATGCCGTCACTGCACAGAACTCACCTGCATAGCAGTACAGGGGGAGGGCAGCCAGCATGAGGACCATCACCAGCTTCATGTTGAGGCAGCTGTTGCTGGATCTTCAGTTGTATATGATGGATCAAAGAACTCACTCTGGAGGTGAACATCTAGAACTCTTCTATTTATCTCCCAGGCAGTGGCCTTAAACCCTCCCAGGAAAAGGGAATGAATCATCAGATTTAACCTTGATTGGACCAGGAAATGACAACCAAATTGAGAAGACCTCAGCCAGCTTGTCATCTGTTTACAGAAACCAGGACATGGTAACTTTGGACCCATGACAATTTTGAGACTGCTACTGACACATGGGTTTCCATAAATGGATGTGAGTGTTTTCCAACTTCTAAAACACCACACAACACTGTGAGGTCGTGCTGGCATCAGTGTTTTCTATTCTTATTGTGGTCTTCTACTCTTTTTCCTCCAACTCTTCTTTATCTTCTTCCACTTTGTCTCCTCCTCCATATTTATGTATTCATTTCTTTTGCTATAGAGTATGTGCACTCACTACAGAGAGAACAAGAGCAAGAGCAGGAGTGAGAGAGAGAGAGAGATTTTTCTTGGGATTTTAGGCAGAGATGCACATACACCCTGAGTGTTTCTTAAAGTCACCAGGTCTGGGACTCTAATCATGCTTTTGGCCATGTAGGATCCAGGCCTTAACCATTACTCCACTTTATGGCTGTCTCTTTTCTTCTTCAAGGTGCAAATGACTTCATAAAATATATGCCCTCTGTTCTGGTATAATTACATACCTGGCTATTATATTTAGATAGAGTTACTTGTGCTGAGGAGGATGTACTAAAAAAGGAACTCTTGTGTACTCTCAGGGAAAATTTACATTAGTACACTCATTATAAAAAATGAAATAGTGGTTCCTCAAAAAAAGTGGAAAAGATTATCTTTGTCATCCAAGCAATCCAGCTACATACCCAAAGGAGAGGAAATCAACATGGTTTACAGATGTCTGCACTCCCACGTTTGTTGCAGCTCTATTCCCATTAGAAAAAAAGGAATGGAACAATGTAAGTGTCCCTTGATGAGTGAATGTATTTTTCTTAAATGTGGTAGATATGCACCCTAGAATAAGAGTCACCCACAAACAACATGGAATGTGTCATTTGAGACAATGTACATTAACCTGTAGGAAATCATGCTAAATTAAATAAGCAAGGCTCTGAGAGACAAATGTTACATGTTCTCAGTTCTTAGTGAAAGCTAAGAGGTTTAACAGCATAGAGATGGAGAGTGGAATGGTGGTTACCTGAGGATGGGAAGGTGTTGATGAGTATGGAGAGTAGGGAGAACTTGGTGAACAGATCTAAAATTTCAGTTACATAAGAGGAATGAGTTCTAGATCACTAAATCACAATCGTGTAATGTAAATAACAATTTCATGTATACTTAAAAATAGTTCCAAGAAAAGACCTACATGGTCCTGACATGAAGTAAAATGAATGGGAGATAATGGACATGTTCCTTGTGCAGATTTGATTACACATTGTATTCATGTACTTAAAAACCATGCTGCATCCCATAAATATATACAACTATTACATGATGACTGAAAATTATTTGAAAATAATAAATACATAAAATAGAAAGAAATAAATACCTTGGGTTATGTTTAATATTAGAATCTTCCTCTGGAGACAGACTGCCCTCACCCATAGATATCAATTTTTTTCAGAAACCTTATTTACATTTGGGGAAGAATATCTCAATTGTAAGAATTACCTCACTAGATTAAATAAATTCCTTACAAATATACGGTATTACAAATCTACAGAGTAATTTTTGTTTAAGTCTTTGTTGGCTTTTAAGGTTTCTCCTTAAATTGATTCAAAGATTACTCTGAGTTCAAAGAGTAACTGATCACTTAGATCAGACAGTGTTGAATGGTGGATGATAATAGGATTTGGGCTCATGAAATTGTGAATTTAATCCTGTTTGCAACATCTGATTATGCTGTGTCTTTGGGTATGTTACAATACTGTTTTCTCTGGGTTTCCTTTTCCTCTTTTGAAAATGGGTATAAATTATATTACATGAGTTTTAGTAAGAATTGCAGATACTTTATAAAGATAATGCATTAATGATTATTCAGTCCAAGTGCCAGGGAGCCTCTGAGCTATTCTGGAAACATATGGGAAAACCTGGGGTTAGAATCCCAGGTCAATCTGAACACACCAGGCAAATTCATGGCCATGCCTGTGATCCTGGAAGGCTGGGGGGGCGGTCTTCTCTCTCACTCTCTTGTCTTTATCATATATTTATATAAATAAAAATTGATGATTGTTTATGGCTGGAGTTTTCATCTATTTAATCATCCTTCTAGCATCCGTTGATCAAAACATAACTACTGAGTTTCTTCTATGGTTGGGCCTTGTGCTTTGTGCTATAGATTCACTTGTAGGGAAGAGTTAGGTCAGGTCCTGGCTTTTGTGGAGCTTTCCTTCTTTTCTTTCTTTCTTTTTTTTTTGGAGAGGTTTTTGCTATAGGGTATGTATGCTCGCCAGAAAGACAGAGAGAGACAAAGAGATAGAAAACGAGAAATCACCCCCCCAGGAGGGATGGCCATGCCACAATCCCTTCTCCTCCATTCTCCTCTCGGGATCTTGGGAATGCACGCACACGTGCCCGGCGTGAGTTTAAGCCACAGGGTCTGGGACTCAAACCGCAGTCGGCTACATGGGAGTTCAGTGACATGGCCATTACACTAACTGCTGGTCCCTGTGGAGCTTACTTTCTAACGAGGTGGCAACAAAGAACTCTATCAATAAATGAGACATGTTGAAAAGTGGCAATCATTGCAAAGAACAATGAAATAACCACCAAAGTAGAGCAAGATAAGAGATTGACTCTCTGTAGGCAGCTTCCTGTAAATATTTCAAATCAAACCTGTAGGAAGAAGTGCTTTTTAGATGGGTGAGTCAATGTCAAGATCCACCAATGGACCAATGTGGGGAAAAGTATTTTAGGCATGGGAACAATAGGTACAGAGGTCTGTGGAAGGCTGTTCTTGGCAAAGTGAAAGAAACCAAGGAAAGTGGCCACATGGGGAAAAAATGGTGGGAAGAATAGCGGCGTAGTATGGCTGAAATCCCACCCAGGGGGCTGGACAATGGTGCAGGGATAAAAGGGAATGCTATGTGAGGCTGACACACAGAGGAAAGTTCTGGGGTGTCCAAAGACCTGCCTAAGTACATGGGACACAATTGTGCATATGATCTGGGGCTGGCTAAGGCTGGGAATCTATCCCAGTATCAAGACTCTTTGGAGGTTCTCTCTCTCTCTCTTTCTTTCATGGAAAAATAAACAAATGAACTTAAAAGGTAAGAAAGGAAAACCCACCTTAGTTGAACTAGGGACAGGTAAAATGTAATAAGAAAAAGTAAACAAACTTGGCTTATGTTCTTAAAAAATAAATGAGTGAGACAGTCAGAGAGGAATCTGTTTTTAATTATTTGCGAATACATTATTTGTTGTCTGAATTACTTGTGACATTTATCTTTCCACCATTTAGTGGTTGCCAAGAACAAACCTGATTTAGGAAGTGACTAAATAGGGATGGTTTTTATACTTCTGTGTGTACTTTCACACAGTTGGATAAGGCTGGCGTCCTTCATTCCAAAGCCAACTGAGTCTTTAGTATTGAACTGGTTATGTTTGTCTTGGCCAGGACATAAAGTGACTCTGGCGTGCCTGTCATTATGGTCCTGCCCTGTCACCTGCTGGGCCAGATGCTTCTTCAGTGATTTCTTACTCATCCAAAAAGCTTCCTACACCAGGTACAGAGTGTCCAATACTATGGTGGTTGTGTTTACTTTTTTTTTTTGGAGAGTTTTATGCTATAGGGTGTGTGCGCTCGCCAGAAAGAGAGACAGAGAGATAGAAAGTGAGGAATCACCCCCCAGGGGTGATGGCCATGCTGCAATCCCTTTTCCTCCATTCTCCTCTCGAGATCTTGGGCACGCACACACACGCACCTGGCGTGAGTTTTAAGCCACCGAGTCTGGGACTCGAACCGCGGTCGACTACATGGGAGTCCAGCAACATAGCCATTACGCTAACTGCTGGTCCTGGTTATGTTTACTTTCACCTTGGCAGGTTTTGTTTTGTTTTCTTCCATTTTTAATTTGCCTAGCACATGCAGACTGAATGGGGAGAGCGCGAGAGCAAGAGAGAGAGAGAGAGAGAGAAACAGGAAGTGAGAAAACACCCAAAATAGAGATGGCCACTCCGCAGTCCCTTCTCTGTTCTCCTAGGATTTCAGGCATGCAAGTGCACATGCTCAGTGTGTCTTTCAAGCTGCTGGGTGTGGAGCGTGAACTGTGTAGTTGGCCCAGTGGGATTGCATAACAACCACACCACCAGCTGCCCCATAACCTCTGTGTTTTATCTGAATGTCTAATCATTCTCTGGTGAATCAAATAACAATAACTCTGTCCATAAAAGATTCATTTATTTGCAAAGCAGCACTTCCAGGAAGAATAAGAAAGGCAAAAAGAGTCAGGAACTTATTTTGTTGGCCAAATGCAGGTATTCTTGTATTGACTTGTGTTTGTAAATGAAGTTCAGAAATAGCAACAGTCTGGTTTCCTATAGTAATCCTCATCTGTGTGAAAAATACGGAATGATCATCAGCTAAAACATGCGTGCTGCAAGGATTTATCCTCACAAGTAAAATCCTGAGTAATCTGATATCTTTGGGTAGAAAGTGCATGACAGGAAAGAGAGACAGCTGATGTACTCTCAGGCTCCTGGAGACCTCAGATATAGACCTATTAATATTTTCTGGCATTTGAAAGACTCTGCCATTTAATATAAACTAGCAATGGTTCAAGAGCTGACTTTCTCAGTTATTCATGCTTTTCCTTAAAAAACCTGGTAAAGAACAGTTATTTTGAAGTTCAGAGGCTCTTTAGGTTTGTTGTTGTTGTTGTTGTTTTGTTTTGTTTTAATGGCAGGTTATAGCTATATATCTATTTCATGATATTTTGGGGCAAGACACCTCCCACTTTCTTATCTTTTGTAATTCTGTAAATATGGTTCCACCTTTCATCCTCCAGGACTATTGGAGAATCAACCTCAGACATGGACTTGGAGGC